TGCCATCTCTTTAAAAGCAGCGTTTTGCTGTTGTGCTTTGGACTTGGTTGAAAATCTCCTCTTGTTGCCGTTTATAGATAGGGGTTTAGAAGCAAAAGAAAGAGCATTGCTGGTTTTGGGAGTAGCCTCTGGCAAGTCGAGAACCAGAGCTGTGCTCCCAGAAACAAGCCCCATTCCCCGAGTCCTGAAGATGATACCTAGCCAGAGAGGATGGCTGCCCGTGTGCGCAGTTGTGATTAACGGAGACAGAGCGATGCCGGCATGCCCCAGCCGCCGGCACAGAGGATCCCTGCAGACCAGCAGTGCTGAGCCCCTCTGTCCCTTACTCTCGAAGCTCACTGTGCTTGTGCAGAGTCATAGGTGAGCACCAGCGCTGTGTGTCTCTGGGGCCCGGGGCTGGGGTGGCAGCACCCTGGGGTGTGAAGTGGTTGACCAGACTTTGGTGAGTGCCGCCCTGTCTCTGAGCTCCGCAGCCCTGGGTTACAGATGGCTCCATTGCAGGATGTGGCTGGAGCGACTCTTCAAACATTCAGCCCTGAGCGGTAGGGCTGTTTGAAAAAATTCCTGCCTCTTGGGTCATGTGACCATACTTGCTTCTCTTGTCTTGTGCTCCTGTATATACCTGGCGCTGGTCACACCGGAAAGTCCCTCTGCCTTTGGACTGGCTTGTATCCTGTGAGCAACTTTAACTGTAAATTTTGAAATTTCCCCTTATATACTTGGGAGCTTACCTCGGTCCTTTGAAAAAGGGCTCATCGCAGGGTGCAGAGCTCTGAAGCCAGAACAGCCAGCCAGGGTACTGTGCGAGATGCAGCATCATTTAATGTAAGATGCGCCGATTCTAAGTGTAACACTGAGCCGCTGGTGGTGAGAAGGAGTTTGGGACAAAGGCGCGGTGGTAAATGGTGCCTTACACACTGGCACATTGTGTCAATATGTAGGGTGAGGGCCAGCGCCATGGCATAGCGGGTAAAACCACCTCCTGCAGTGCTAGCATTCATATGGACGCCAGTTCGAGTCCCAGCTGCTCCACTTCCGATCCAGCTCTCTGCTATGGCCTGGGAAGGCAGTAGAAGATGGCCCAGGTCCTTGGGCCCCTGCACCCACATGGGAGACCTGAAGAAGCTCCTGGCTCCTGGCTTTGGATCGGCCCAGCTCCGGCCATTGTGGCCATTTGGGGAATGACCCAGGGAATGGAAAACCTCCCTCTCTCTGTATCTCTCTGCCTCTGCCTCTCTGTAACTCTTTCTTTGAAATAAGTGCATCTTTTTTTTTTTAAAGAGCACATAAAATTATTTAGAATTTTTTGAAAAATGTAGGGTGATATGATACCTGCTAGTCTATAACTTTATCCTGTGGCCACAAGACCATAAATTGGCGGCATTTTTCTTGACACTAATGTTTCCCTACAAAAATCATAAATTAAGGAAAGAAATGTGCAAGTTTTTTATTTATTTATTTATTTATTTATTTATTAAGGGTCCTGGCATCCTTGGGTTAGAATTGGGGGCTGTTAGAATGAGGATCCGTTTTCTGGCCATGCGCACACCTGGTCCATCCAGATGTGGTCATCAGAGTGAGAGTTTGAAAACACGCCGGGCGGAGACTTGGGTCCCCTTTAAACTGTAACACAGGCAGGTCCTTTGGGAAATGGGGTATTTGCCCAGTTCTTAAGGCAACGACCTCACGAATGGGAGCAATGCTAATTCCTAGAGCACATCTTTGGGGCAGGATCTCTCCACAGAGAACGCCTCTCCTGGATGTGCTGGGGGAGAGGACGCTGATGGGGGGAGCATGGTCACTGTGGGAGGAAGTCCCTGGGGGGATTCTCTGTCCATTCTCCTTGGTCAGCCCCAATCTCGTCCATGCCTGGGCGTCCAGTGAGCTGGGGGCTGACCCTGCTCCTGCTGCTCGGGAGGACCCAGGCGCGCTGTGTGTACGAGGGCAGGACGTGTGCTGGGTGTGAGCTGGTAGACTGGGGCTGGAGGCTCACTGTGCCGCTCAGGGCTCCCGCTGGACGAGGCTCTGCCACCTTCAAGGTCACTGCCGTCATTTCCTGCCCAGCCAGCCAGCAAGGGGAGACCAGGCCCCCCAGGTTCTCAGAGGTTCTGTGACAGATGTGTTCTTGTTTAAATGCCTGGATGTTTAGACGCTGTACCAGTGTGAGACAGAAACAGTGGCACCAAAGCAAGGAAGAAAGCTGTGTTGGGATTCTCTTTAACAATGGTTCTTCGTGGCCTGTGCTGTGGCACAGCAGGTTAACCCCTGGCCTACAGCACCAGCAGCCCGCAAGGGCACCGGGTCCAGTCCCAGCTGCCCTGCCCCAACCCAGCTTCATGCTGGTGAGGCGAGGAAGGCAGCAGCAGGCGGCCAAAGCCCTGGAAGAAGCTCCTTGGCCTTGTGGCCGTTTGGGGAGTGAACCAGCAGATGGAAGACCTCTCTCTGTGTGTGTCTCTCCTTCTCTCTCTTAACTCTGCCTTTCAAATAAATATATATTTTTTTAAAGTTTACTTATTTTCATCCACTTGAAAGGCAGAGAGAGAAACCTGCACTTCATCTGCTGGTTTGCTCCCTGAGTTGCAGCACCACCCAGGGCAGGCGAGAGCCAGGAGCAGGAACTTTCTCCCTCTGCCTCTCTGGGGGAGCAGGGCCCCCTGCACTCGGGCCGTCTTCTGCTGCCGGGCACTGTATGCCTGGGTCAAGGGTTTTGTTTTTTGCTTGCATGTGGACCACCCGTTTTCATCGGGCGCATGCAGTGAGCCTGGAGTAAGAACCATCCGCTTGAAGCCGTCTGCTTTGCTAGTGCCCTTCCCCGCAGGGCGCAGAGGAAGCCTAGCCCGTGTTCCCCGAGGCCTGTGCACCGCGCGGTGTACACCAGCCCATTCTTCAAACCGCCCTGCGCTGCAGCGCACTACGCAGCTCCAGCTCTGGCGCGGACAGACAGGCGCGGGCGCACGCGTGGGATGAGGAGTAGAGCGTGTGTCTTGAGCATTCTAAGGGCACACGCTTGAGAAACCCAGCAGGCCCTTGCAAGGCAGCTGAGAGCGGCTCTGGTGTCCCTTCAGCTCCCACCGCCCAGGGCAGGAGGGTTAGAGGCCTGTGCGGTGCAGCGTGTGTGCCAGCCCCCGCCTGCCCCGCAGCACGCAGCTCCTGGGCCCGCCTGCCTCCAGCGAGGGCGGCCGGCGCTGGCCAGTGAGCGGCCAGCGTTTGCGGGGCCGGCGAAGGCCGCGGTGGGCGTAGCCGGCAACAAAAGCCGGGCACGCAGCGGCCAAACAATGTGTGCTTCCTCCGCTCCCAGCGTGGAGCGCTGCGTGTTTGTAAGCGTGGGGATCCGCCTGGGGCTGGGGGGAGCGGGTGTCTCAGAGGCCGCCCCCAGCCCCCCCCCCCTCGCTTTCCTTTCCCGCAGGGGGTTTGTGAAAGAGCCCTTTCGCCCCAATGTGTTCATTTTCACCAAATACCTCATGACCATGGGTGCTCAATGCAATGTGACCTTTTGTACACAGTGGTTAACAACAACAAAATTCCCCCTTCCCCAGGGCACTGCAGAAGACCTGGACGTGATGGCAGGAAATGCCTGCCATGCTCCATCCTAGTGGTTATTTGTGCCCCCCCCCCCCCCCCCCCCCCGCAGGAGCGGCGACACACACCTTCTGGGAAGCAATTCTCAGAATCTCCCTTGTGAAAGAACGCCCCGCCCCGCCCCGCCCCGCCCCTGGAGTCCCTCCGCGCAGAAATTCTGCTGCCCGCTGCCGTGACAGGGTCCCGAGGAAGGGAGTTTGACCTGGTGAGATTTCCCCTAGCATCAGCAAGCTCAGTTCGGGTTTCCTGTGAAATTCAAAATGGCAGTGGTCAGGCGAGGGCGTGGGCCAGCTGCACACAGACTCTGAGTGAGGCTGTCCTGGGTTTTGGGGAGAGAGAGAGAGAGAGAGAGAGAGAGAGAGGTGGGGGCAGCGAGGAGGAGGAAGGCTCACTGCCATGTTTCTGTACCCTGATTCTTGAGGTCTGGCCCCAAATCCAGGTCCTTTTAACATCAGCTGTGAAGCAGCGAGTCTTTTAAAAAAAAAAAAAAAGCTCGCTTGTCCTCCAGAGAAATAAAGAGGATGTTATATTTTGTTTCTCTGTGACATTTGTTGTACTAAGTGCACTTAAGTTTAGTAATTCACAGATGCAGAGCTAAATTAAATTGTCTGTCTGCAGAGCAGTAGGGAGAGGCAGAGTGGCTTGCAGGAAACAAGCCGTGTTGGTTTTGAGATTTCTTTTCTAATCCTCAGTGGCAAATGCTTACCAGAGTTGATTCTAAAGATAACCCCCAGAGCACATCTTATTGTGCACATTTATTTTCTTAAGAGGGCTATTTTGGGAGCCCTTCATATGCCACAAGACCAAACAGTGACACGGATACCCTAGGAAGGCTGGTGATTGCCTGCCTGAGTCGGAGAGGGGAGGGTTAGGAGAGAGAACTCACAGCTCAGCGTCTGCCGCCTGGCTTCCGAGTCCCTGTTTTTAGGCATCTGCACCTTTTTTTTTTCTTAATAAAAATGGCCATCATTTCAGAGTTGAATTGGAATCAGAACCGATGGCTCCCAGTCCCCTCTGGTTTAAGCCCTGGTAACTGGCGCTCAGTTGATGTTGGCCGCTTGCCAAGCGAAAGCAATTATGTGTAATAATAGAAAAATTAAGAGGTGAGTGTTGCTGTTTTACAGCAGGACATGGCAAGAACCATTTCCTTCTGTCAGCGGTATCTTGATTACACTCTCACACACTCTTGCCACACGCATGCGCATGAACACACACACACACACACACACACACACGAATACACAATTTCCTGTGGGTTTTAACTTGAGGTCACTGAAACCAGAAAGAGGAAGAAGGCAAACCACAGCTTTTGAAAGCAAGCGAGGATAGAATGTGCTGGTAACACCATCATCATCATCACCACTGAGCTGGCAATCACCGTGCTGAGCGAGGCCCTTTCTTTGCTGTCTCCCCCCAACCAGGTGTCCTGGTGGTCAATGTCACATGGAGGAACAAGACTTACGTGGGGACTCTCCTGGACTGCACCAAGCACGACTGGGCTCCCCCAAGGTATGCAGCAGCTCTTTGGCTTCTCCGCTCTCTGCACACACAGGGAGCCACATGGAGAGACCAGTGCTTCGTCCAAGTCTGCCTGTGGTTGCAACGTGAGCAGCTTGGGATTGAGCACGGTGAGACGCAGATGCTGGGTCTCTTCTCAGAGGCCCGCTGGCCGCCCCTTCTCTCTTTCCCTTGTCATCGTCTTTTCTCAAACTGCAAATCAGAGCTGGGCTGGAAGCAGGCAGCCCCCCAACCCCCGACCCCCGTCCCCCGGAGCCGTCACAAGACTGGTGGTGGCCTGTCCTTGTGCAGGTGTTGGAGGGAAGGCAGGGGGGCCTCGTCCTGGGCTGGGCGCAGCCGTGGAGCCCCTGGGGTGTTGCCTCCCCGTTTTTTTGGTGCCGCATCCTGTCCCATGTGATGTCACCTGTTCTTCTGTGGGTGCTCTTTCTGACCTGTGTTCCTTGTTTCCCCCAGGTTTTGCGAGTCACCAACAAGCGACCTGGAGATGAGAGGGGGCCGGGGCCGAGGGAAGAGAGCGAGGTCAGCCGCCGCGGCCCCTGGCTCCGAGGCCAGCTTCGCGGAGTGCCGGGGGCTGCAGAGCAAGAACCGAGGGGGGGCCAATGGGAAAGGGAGGCGGGGCAGCCTCAATGCCAGCGGCCGCAGGACGCCCCCGAACTGTGCCGCCGAGGACATCAAAGCCAGCCCTTCCTCCACCAACAAGAGGAAAAACAAGCCCCCCATGGAGCTGGACCTCAACTCCAGCTCCGAGGACAGCAAGCCCGGGAAGCGGGTACGCACCAACTCCAGAAGCACCCCTACCACGCCCCAGGGGAAGCCGGAGGCCACCTTCCTGGATCAGGGCTGCTCCTCTCCTGTGCTGATCGACTGCCCCCACCCGAACTGCAACAAGAAGTACAAGCACATTAACGGCCTGCGCTACCACCAGGCCCATGCACACCTGGACCCAGAGAACAAGCTGGAGTTTGAGCCCGACAGCGAGGACAAGATCTCGGACTGCGAGGAGGCCCTGAGCAATGTGGCCCTGGAGTGCAGCGAGCCCAGCACAAGTGCCCCAGCCTACGACCAGGCCAAGGCCCCCGCGTCTCCTGGTGCCGGGAACCCCCCTGGGACCCCCAAGGGGAAGAGAGAGCTGCTGAGCAATGGCCCGGTCGCCACGCTCGGGTCCAAAGCTGGAAAGAATTCGGGCAAAAAGAAGGGCCTGAGTGCTGACCTCAGCAACCTGCCCGTGATCTCCAACATGACGGCCACGCTGGACAGCTGCTCGGCCGCCGACGGCAGCTCGGCCGCAGAGATGCCCAAACTGGAAGCCGAAGGGTTGATTGACAAGAAAACTCTGGGAGAGAAGGAAAAGGGCCGGAAAGCCAGCAACTGCAAAATGGACAAGAACCTGTCCAAGCTGAAAGGCGCCCGGCCCATCGCCCCAGCGCCCGCGCCCACCCCCCCGCAGCTCATCGCCATCCCCACGGCGGCCTTCACCGCCACCACCACGGGGACGATGCCTGGCCTGCCCTCCCTCACCACCACCGTCGTCCAGGCCACGCCGAAGAGTCCCCCGCTGAAGCCCATCCAGCCCAAGCCCACCATCATGGGAGAGCCGCTCACCGTGAACCCGGCTCTCGTGTCACTCAAAGACAAGAAGAAAAAGGAGAAGCGGAAGCTCAAAGACAAAGAGGGCAAGGACTCGGGCAGCCCGAAGACGGACGCCAAGCTGGGGAAGCTGGAGGAGCCCAAGGGGGCGGCGGGCAAGGACCTGGCGGGGCATTTCCTGAAGGACCACCTCACCAAGGGCGAGGGGCTGGCCAATGGCCTGGCGGAGTCCCAGGAGAGCCGCATGGCCAGCATCAAAGCCGAGGCCGACAAGGTGTACACGTTCACCGACAACGCGCCCAGCCCCTCCATCGGCAGTGCCTCCAGGATGGAGTGCAGCACCCTGGTGAACGGGCAGGCGCCCATGCCCGCCCTGCACGTGCTCGCCCAGAACGGGCCCGAGAGCTCGGCGGCGAAGACCAGCAGCCCCGCCTACTCAGACATCTCGGACGCCGCAGACGACGGGGGTTCGGATAGCAGGTCGGAGGGCATGAGGTCCAAGGCCAGCTCCCCATCGGAGATCCTCTCTGGCAAGGACGGCGTCGCCAGGGGGCATCCTGCAGCCGCAGCGCAGGCGTCTCAACTGAAGGAGTCCCCCTCCCCCTATTACCACGGCTACGACCCTTACTACTCCCCCAGCTACATGCACGCGGGCCAGGCGGGCGCGCCTGCAGCCGGGACCGGCGGGAGCTCGCAGGGGATGAAGGTGAAGAAGGAGTGTGAGGAAGACGCCGAGAAGAAAGACAAGGCAGAGCAGTTAGAGTCTAAGAAAGGGGACCACGGCGCTGCCCCCCTGCAGCCGCAGCACCAGTCGGTGATCACCCAGAGGCACCCGGCGCTGGCCCAGTCCCTGTACTACGGCCAGTACGCCTACGGGCTCTACATGGACCAGAAGTCCCTGATGGCCACCAGCCCCGCCTACAGGCAGCAATACGAGAAGTACTACGAGGACCAGAGGCTGGCCGAGCAGAAGGTGGCCCAGGCCGGGAGAGGAGACTCTGAGCGGAAGCATGAGCTCCCCTTGAAGGAGCTGGGCCAGGAGGACGGTAAACAGAAACACGTGCCGTCGGCCACGGTCTCAAAAGCTCCCTCTACCCCGGAGCCTAGCAAAAGCCATTCTAAACTAGGGCCTTCCGTGCCTAATAAAACTGAGGAGACAGGTAAATCGCAGCTTCTCTCCAATCAGCAGCAGCAGCTTCAGGCCGACAGCTTCAAAGCTAAGCAAATGGAAAACCACCAGCTTATTAAGGAGGCTGTAGAAATGAAATCTGTCATGGACTCTATGAAGCAGACAGGTGTAGACCCAACCTCGAGATTTAAACAAGTAAGATTGTGGAACGTGGCCCCGAGAGAGAGAGCAGTCTGGGCGTGGATCTGGTGCAGACCACACGCAGCCGAGGAGCCCCCACCACCACCACCCGCCCTCCCCTGTGCCCCCACCACCACCACCACGTGAGGGTCTCCCCCCTTGTCTCGGGGCTCTCGGGAGCTGCCCTAGGGCTGCCGCGGAGGGCACGGCGCCTGCTGTCGGTGTTGGGCGCGTGCAGTCGGAGGCACCTGGGGATGTACGCCTGGCTGGCTCATGCGCCCTGTGACTCTGTCGAGGCCCCCGGGGGGTGCAGGCGTTCCAGCCCAGGGCGGCCAAGTTCCCGTCCACCTCCGAGGCTGTGGGTGTCCTCTCTCTCAGATGCTCGTGTCCGGTTGGTTAGCATCTTCTAGGAGAATGCAAACCGGGCCCCTGCATTCACCCTGGCCGTTCATGATCTTTTTTGTTTGTTGAACGGAATGTGGGCCCTAGGTGTCTCTCCCCCGGGCTCTGTCTTACTCCCTGTGTTAACTGCCCCAAAGCAGAGCTCAGAGGTGCGCACTTGTGAGCAGAGTTTGGGAGGGGCCCCAAGGTCAGCCAGCCTGAGAACCCGTGAACCCGGGTTGCGGTGCAGCCGTGCGTGCGCCAGCTCATCCTGTCCCTGCTGACTCGCCAGCTGCACCGAGCATTGGTCCTGGTATTTCCCAGCCTCAGAAACCCTCGTCCTCGCCATCTCCCCCAACCCCCCTGCAGTGCTGAGAGCGTCCCTGGTGAACCAGACGGGAACTCCTCCCCCGCTACACGCCTGCCACAGGCCAGGAGGATGCCGAGCCCCCACACCCCCACCTTCCCAGGCTGCAGCCCGGCGGCTGCCCCGCAGGGCTCCATCAGAAGCATCTGACCCGGGGGCGGGGTTGGGGGAGAGGCGGGGTGCATAGATGGTTCTGTGTTTCTCATAGAGAAGCCATCTTGTGTGCTCTCAATTTGAACTTGTGTTTTGGCTGAGATGTTAGCGTTTGACGAGAAGTGAGCCGATGTACCAAGCGAACCTCAGCCGTAGCAGACACAGAAGTGTGTTAGGAATCCCAGGGTTTTTCCTCCACCTCAGCGATGTTAGCAGGTGTTGTAATTACATAAACTGACCCTTACTAGCTTACACTGGGGTTTTTAAAAAATTATTTTTTTTGTTTTTAAACCTAGATGAGATAGTAAAAGGAGAATGAGGGTTGGAATTAGCATGTCTGATGGCGTTATTTATGCGAAGTGACCTTAGTTCCAGCAGACTGGAGTCTGGAGCACAGCTCCGCTATTGGACACTGATGTGACCTTGACCTTGATGTTGCTTGTAAAATTTGGTCTTGTCATCTGTACGAGGAACCCGTGGTATCGCCTACCCCAGAAATGATTTGCTTGGTGCGGGAAGGGGGTAAAGCTATTGGCCCAGTGCCTGACACATACATAAATGTTAAGTTACTATCAGAAGTCAGAGGCGTAGTGCTGTCGTGACGATGTAATGGGTTTTCTTAGAAATTGAAATTTGCAGACACACACACACACAAATCTCTTTTTCATTTAGGACCCAGATTCAAGGACTTGGCATCATTATGTGTACCAGCCCAAATATCTGGAGCAGCAAAAGTCCGAAGAGCTTGACAGAGAGAAGAGATTGAAAGAGGACAGTCCGAGGAAAACCCCTAACAAGGAGGGCGTGGCGTCCAGCCTTCCCGTGTCCTTGGCGAGCATCAAAGAGGAGCCCAAGGAAGCCAAGCGTCCCGATTCCCAGCCGCTGGAGGAGAACAAGCTGAAGAGCGACGACCGGAAGACCCCTGTGAACTGGAAGGACTCGCGGGGAAGCCGCGTGGCCGTGTCCTCCCCCATGAGTCAGCACCAGTCCTACATCCAGTACCTGCACGCGTACCCATACCCGCAGGTGTACGACCCCAGCCACCCCGCCTACCGGGCGGTCTCGCCTGTCCTCATGCACAGCTATCCTGGTACGTGCCGAACGCTCTGACTGCACGTGAGTGGGGGGCTTGGCGTCTGTGATGGTCCAGTGTGCCTGTTAGACTGACAGAGCCTTTATCGCCTGGGAAAATAGCCTAAGCGCTTCCTGTCGTAATCATTACGGCTGCCATTGCTTCCACTTAAGCAGACGCACAAGTGTATGAAGTGGCCGTAAGCTCCGTTCTGTATGTAACCTCCGTTCACCAGGATGGATAAACTGGGGGAAGAAAATGGGCGCACGTGGTCCCTGCAGTTTAAGGATGACGGAGCCCGGTCCTCATGTGACCCCCTGTGTTGAGATCCCCACCTCTCATCCCACGGTCCTGTAGCCTGAGGGATTCTGTGTTCTGTCGCCAAGGTGTAGCCTGTAACTCGATGCAGCCTTTGTCGTGTGTCTGCAGGGGCCTATCTCTCGCCAGGATTTCATTACCCTGTCTACGGGAAGATGTCGGGGAGGGAAGAGGCCGAGAAAGTCAACACCAGCCCCAGCATCAGCGCGAAAGCAGCCACCGAGTCGAAAGCCCTGGATCTGCTGCAGCAGCACGCCAGCCAGTACCGCAGCAAGTCTCCCGTCGTAAGCCGCCGGCCACTGCTGTGTTTGGGGGCGCCCTGGGGGGCAAGCTAGAGAAGGGTTGGGAGCCCCAGCTGTGAATTCAGGGGTGCTGTGTTATCCCAGCACACAAGGAGCGAGCGCTGAAGGGTGAGGCTGTGTCACACGGAAGGGGACATGTAGTCGAGGTCCGTGTGGCTGTAGCAGGCTTCCCTGTTGGAAAATCTCGCGTCAGAACTCACTCACCCAGGGCTGGAGTTTAGATGCGTGGGGGCCAGCTTGTGGCACAAAAGCCATTTTTTTTTTTTTTAATAAAAGCCGGAGAAATTAAGTCCTGGAGGATTCTGTCGTACAGCCTGCCTGTAGCTAAGTAGTTCAGAGCCTGCAAGCCCTTGATCCATTGGGCAAATTGTGCTTTTTGAAAGTGTTTTTCTTTTGGGATAGGTTTGTAAAAAATCTGGGACTCTAGTGTACAAGTTCAGATGGGCTCCTTCTCCTCAGACAGTGGAGTCCGGTGCAGTCACTTGGGCGCAGTGGCTCAGAGCAGGTAGCCTGAGCTGGCCGTATGTCCTGCTCCCCACCTGTGCGAGCACGGGTGGGGCTCAGACCCACCCCACCCCCCAGCCTGCATCCCTCGGTGTCCACACTGGGCGCCTGGCTTCTGCAGCGGTCTGAGCTGTCAGCGGTCTCCCCTGCCTCTCGGTCAGTTTCCTGCTGGGGGCTGTTCAGGAGCAGAGCCGAGGGCCCGGTGCCCTCTTGGTGTCGTTCAGGCGTGGAGTAGAGTCTTGCACGGGTGAGGCTCCTAGGCAGGGCCCAGCCGCCTGGCTCTGGAGCGAGGGCTGTCGCGGCTGCGCTCTGGCTTAGGTCAGCGCCCTGGGACTGTGCCGACACAGTGCAGGTGCATAGGGGAAGAGGACTTGGGTGAAAGGGTGGGGCTTCTGAAAGGCACACATGTGCAGGAATGCACAGTCCTTCACCGTCCCGGGACGGTGGCTGTGGGCTGCTGACGTCCCCGACTAGATGGCGGCGGACTGTTTGTGGGGCTGCGTCTTTGAAGGGTGCGAAGCGGTTATGGATGCGTTGAAGATGATGAGAAAGTCTCTCGCCCACAAATTACCAGTTTAAAAGTCTAAATGGAAAGCATGGGTTTAAAGATGCAGCTCCAGGGCCTTGTCTCCCTGAATGCTTGTGGAGGAGTTGTTCCTGGGGCATGGTCCAGCCTGGGACACGGTCCAGCCTGCAGCTGCGAGTGAGCCCAGGGCTGCTGTCTCCCTGCTGCAGCCATGCAGGAGACCCTTGGTGCCGCTGCGGATCCCCTCCCTTAGTCGTTGGCTTGAACTCCAGCGGGAGGCAACCCTGAATTATCAGATGAGCAAAGACTGCTGTGTCTGTCTGTCCACCCCTCAGGGGTCAGCGGGCTCTAGCAGCGGGACAGGGTGGTGTGGTGCTCCTGCTGGTGCGTCCGGAGGTGTTCACTTGGGGTGTTGTTTCTCTTCTCTCCTGCAGCCGGTGGAGAAGGCAGCGGCTGAGCGGGAACGGGAGGCCGAGAGGGAACGAGACCGCCACTCGCCGTTCAGCCAGCGCCACCTGCACACACATCACCACACCCACGTGGGCATGGGCTACCCGCTGATCCCCGGGCAGTACGACCCCTTTCAAGGTCAGCAGCGCCGTCCTTGTGGTGTCTTTGTTCCACCTGCCCTGGGGAACGGTTGCTGAAACTGCCTGACCCCACCTTCCAGTAAAAACGCGGAGTGTTGAGTTGCCTTTAGCTGTGGGGAGGGCTCTCTGCCTCTTCCCCCAGTACAGCCCAGGCCCTGCCCGCAGCTCTGTGTTCTGTTGGGACACGGCGTGGCTCCTGCATGGTAATCGTCATGCGTTGCTGGGTGATGTTACCGGGCGCTCAGGGTTATCTCGCAGGCTGAGGATGGTGGCCGGCGCCTGGGACGCTGACCGTAGCAGTAGAAAGATCAGATAGGGACTGTGGGGGCACAGCAGAGAAGACGGGGCTGGGGGTGGCCACCACGACATGGTTTGTTTCATCTCTGCAGCCTGTTTTCCCAAGCAAGTTGCATGAGTAACTAGACCAGATGTAACACTATGCTCAAGGGTCTTGCAGCCCTTCCCTCGCTGAAGGGGGTGGGGGGAGGGTTGAGAAGGGGCGACCTTCTTTCGGAGCGCAGAGTGGGTGCAGGGGAGCCTTGGCTGCGTGGGGGGGTCCCCGGCTGGCAGCAGCACAGCAGGCTGTGTTTGCTCACGGATCTGGAGGCTGAGAGTTGGCGATGAGGGTGCCAGCAGCCGCCGTAGCTGGATGCTGGTGTGGCCAGGCGTGTGTGTGTGTGTGTGTACATGTTTATATGTATATGTGTGTAGGTGTGTCCATGTGCGTGTACGTGTAATGGGTGTGTACGTGTTTATGCCTACGCATAAATCGGCGCACATGTATGTATGCACATGTTTATGTATGTGTATACATGTAGGCATTGTGTGCACATGTGCATGTATGTGTGTTGTGTGCACCCGTGTGTTTCTGCATATGTGTGCGTTTTATGTGTGTGCGTATGCTCATATGTGTGTGAGCACGTGCATGTGTGTACGTGTTTGTGTGTGTATGCATATGTGTGTGAATGCATGTGTGTGTGTGTGTGTGTGTGTGTGAAGCTCTCCAGGGTCTCCTCTCACAAGGACCTAGTTGTACGAGGGCTCCGCCTTCGTGACCTCACTTCACGTCACCCCTTTGAGCCCCTGTTTCTAAACTTACTCACAGTGGTGGGTACAGCATCCCCATGTAGGGTGAGGCACGATCTAGTCTAGACATAGTTCTTCCCTGGTGCCTCTTGCCCAGCTGTGTGCCTATCAAGTAAGACGGTGACACCGGAGACTCTTCCGGGAATGGGAAGGGAGTGACCGGGGCAAAGGGTGGTTCTGATTCATTCAGCCCCTGCGGCCTTCCGTCAGCTGTCGTGTTCCAAGAGAGCCCCTCTCGTCCCTGACTGGCTTGAGCTGAGTGTGAGCAAGCTTGGAAGAGAAAGGGGTTTCATTTCTAGCACCTGTGCATCTGCGGCGAGGTCTGGAGGGCCGGACAGTGGGGCACTTTCAGGGGGCCGGTCTGTGACTGTAGCGCCCTCAGTTCCCTCCGGGGAAGGAAAACAGACGCAAGTCCAGGACAGGCAGAGAGCAGCCTTCCTTAGGTTTGCGTTTGTTGACTTCCCCCGCCCCTGCCCGGTACCACTTTCTGTAGACATTAAAAGAAGTCCACACTTGAGTGATCCCGTCCTCGGAGTGCCGCCTTTCTCTTACATGTTAACACTGTTTCTGGGTTTGATTTAGACTGAGATGACTTCTGAGTTTAATTTACTGATGGTGTGTGCTTTTTTAAAAAAGCTTTTTTATGTTAAATAATATACACAGAGAGGGGTGGGGGGGGGAGGGAGAGAACTTCCGTCCCCTGGTTCACTCCCTGAATGGCCTCAGTGACTGCAGCTGGTTCAGAGCAAAGCCAGGAGCCTGGAGCTCCATCGGGGTCTCCCATGTGTGTGGCAGGGGCCCATGCACTTGGGCCATCCTCTGCTGCCTTCCCAGGTGCATAAGCAGGGGAGCTGGATTGGAAGTGGAGCAGCTGGGACTCGAACCCTTCCTCCTATGGTATGCCAGCATCGCAGGAGGCCGCTTAACCCGCTGGGCCCCAGTGCTGGTCCCTGATCGCGTGTGCCTACGGGAAGGGGAGAGCGTTGAAGCGATCCAAGCATCCGCGCAGTGTCGCGACCTCAGCAGCGTGCCTTCTGCTGGCTGGGCTTACCTGGACTTACTCTTTGTCCTGAGCTCCCGCTTGAGGCAGGCTTGCACACCGTTCAGTGCCATGCAGAGCCGGAGAGCTGGCCTGCTCTGTCCACTGCGGAAACCGTGGGGGGTGTGGCGGAGGGGTTGGGACTGGGCAGGCCGGGGGCAGACCACCGTGGGTTTGGTCGACACAGGACGCATTGCTGCCTGCAGCCCTCAGCTGTGCAGCCTGTGTGCTGGGAGCTTTCTTATCCTGGGAAAGGTCACCAAACGCTGCGTTCTTCCCTCCATTAGGCTTGACCTCTGCCGCCCTGGTGGCCTCCCAGCAGGTGGCTGCCCAGGCCTCTGCCTCAGGAATGTTTCCTGCACAGAGAAGGTGAGTCTCCTCCGTACTCTGAGCAGTTGGGAGGGAGCAAGCACACAGGCTGCTGAGGCCAAACCCTCGGCTCTGTGGTGTTCACAGCATGGCGCTGGACGTGCGTGTTCGACAGGTGTGCTGCACCTGCAGCCCGCGTGCCGTGAACCCCATCCCGTAGATGCGCCGTGGATTGATAGCACACTGACCCGGTTTTTAGGCAGTTCGAGTTCTCTCGGGTTATCCTTGCACTTGGTGGAAAAGAATTCACCGTGACTCCCTGCATTGGGTTTCAAATAAAGTCAGAGGTGGACAGACTTGTTTTCATGATGCTGGAGATAATACTTATCCTATGTTTTTTTTTAATTTGTTTTTTATTTATTTGAAAGGCAGATTTACAGGGGTGGAGGGAAGGGGGAGACAGGGAGATTGTTGGTTCAGTCCACAAATGGCTGCAAAAGCTGAGGCTATGCCAGCCTGAAGCCAGAAGCTTCAGTCTGGTCTCCCATGTGGGTGCATGGGCCTACGCGCTCGGGCCATCCTCCGCGGCCTTCCCAGGCCAGTAGAAGGGAGCTGGATCAGAAGTGGGGCAGCTTCACAGGCGGCTGCTTACCCCGCTACAACACTGCACCACCAGCCCCTCCTGTGATATTTTTAATGATTCGTCAGGTTATTTTTAAGAAGGAAAGTAGGCCAGCGCCGCAGCTTACTAGGCTAATCCTCTGCCTGTGGCGCCGGCACACTGGGTTCTAGTCCTGGTCAGAGCGCCGGATTCTGTCCCGGTTGCCCCTCTTCCAGGCCAGCTCTCTGCTGTGGCCAGGGAGTGCAGTGGAGGATGGCCCAAGTGGTTGGGCCCTGCACCCCATGGGAGACCAGGAGAAGCAGCTGGCTCCTGCCATCGGATCAGCACACCGGCCGCGGCGGCCATTGGAGGGTGAACCAACGGCAAAGGAAGACCTTTCTCTCTGTCTCTCTCTCTCACTGTCCACTCTGCCTGTCAAAAAAAAAAAAAAGGAAAGTAACTGATCGGGGGTTAAATTCCTGTACAATGAGTGTTTGTCTCCCTGTGAGATCCCTGGAATTGGGTCCCACGGGTTGAGAAGTAGAAGGGGCCGTGCGGGGTGAGGGGTGCGGGCCGCTGTTTCGGGAGCCCTGTGCTAAGCTGTGCCTTTCTCTTGCAGAGAGTAACAGGAGTGGAAGTGTCCGTGGCCATGTGACTGGATCACATGGGGAAGGCTTTATACAGACATCAGTTCCATGGTGTTAATTTGAAATGCCTTAATGGCAGGCAAAAACCAGTCATTTCATTTTTGTAAATTACAGATTTTATCACAGAGTAACAAATGTTGCTGTAATTAAACTTCTGTTTTATATATATATATATATACGTATACATATCTGTATATATACATATATATATAAATATATATATATATATTCTTTACTTTTTGTATCAGTAACCAGGCTCGCACACACAGGGTCTGCTACCAGTCAGTGAAAGGAGATTTTTAAAGACATACCTGTCACGTTGAGAAGTGTTAGCCGTGTTCGAACGGCTGCTTTTCCTTTTTCTTTCCTTTTCCTTTGCAACTGTAAATAAATACCGTTCCGTATCGTGTGCCTGAACCTTGCATCTCCTTCCTGTGTTTCCCAGAAGCCCCTCAGTGAGGCGACGACACTTGGGTACAATGTAGATGTCTACTTGGTGGCTCCTGTGAAAGACGCATCAGTGGAACATGTTGCTGTGGTCACTGTGTGTGCTTGTGTATCGTGGGAAAAAATACTTTTGGAAGGCATGGGGTTGCCAGTACCACAAAAACTGTGTTGTATATAATGTAAACATGGAAAGGGGGAGACGGTGAGCATCTGTGAATAATGAGGTGTCATTTTTGGATAATCTTGAATGGCAGATAACCCAATAGCCTGCGTACCAGAGACATCTGTGATTGTTCTATTACTTGAATAGTCCTGCGGTCCTTCTTTTTGTTCTGTTTTGTTTTTTTAAATGTTTACAATTATCCAGTTTTAGAAAAGAGAGACTTTAACGCCATTGCCTGGTTACTTGTTTTATGCTGTAATCTAGTTTATTTTATGTAAAATGTATATTGAATGCTTTCCTTTTTTATACCTGCCTTAAATAATTTGGCAATCAGAATTAAAAAAGGTTTTTTTTTTTTATAATGGCTTCTTGTCTGTCTCGTGTTATTTCTGGCTGGCTGAGAGTGACCCTCACTTTCAAACGAGGGTTTCTGCGTCTCGAAACCTGAATGCTTAACAGAACAGTGCCCAGACATTCACCTTTGTATGGAAGAACACAGGCTTACTTCTTAGTGCTGTATTTAACTGAGTGACTGTGCACTTACTAAGGGCTGTCTTCCCCCAGCGTGAGGCGTCTCATCCCTACAGATGGGTCCTGATGCATTTCTGCCGTGTGGACTGACAGGCCAGATGTAAATCCAGGGACATGGGGACAGGAGCTAAAACGCATCAGCCAGGCAGCCAGCGGGCGTTGAACTGCTTTACTGGAATGTTCCGTGCCACACTTGAACTCCGCCTGCCCTCTCCCTCCTTTCCTCCCAGCCACTACTCACCCCGGGCACTGTGCAGAGCACTAGGGTAAAGCATGGATTGAACAGACAGCCACTCCTGCCCGCGTGGAGCTGGCATTTTCCAGGGCCTGGGCAAGATACGTTCGTAACATACAGGGGTGTTAGATGCTGGAGGAGCGCAGCCCAGCCAGAGGAGCAAAGCCCGGCAGGGGCAGGAGGCCAATATGGGGCAGTAAACGGTGCTGAGCAGAGTCCACGGGGAGGCCTCGGGACCGAGCCAGGAGGCCTGGTTGCCCTGCAGAGGTGGAGAAGCAGGTGCAGGGCCCTCCGGGGGAGGGTGCACGGGCACTGGCGCTGGCAGGGGGTCAAGGCTCAATCCAGCTGTAGGCTTTTAGGACTTGACTGTAATGGCTAAGTACAGGTTCTGCGCCTTGGATTACCAAGAGGTTAGATTGGCAGAATTGGTCTTGGTGTAATTTGGTTGGTTCTATTGGGAGGCATTGGCTTCACAAATGAATGGACTTTTTGCCATCGCGAGGGGCACCTCCCTGCCTTTGAAAGGCCACCTGCAGGTGTCACATTTGCTGCCTGCCTTTGGAGCCCCGTCTGTGTTCTTCGTATGTTTCAGTGGTAGGATAGTTTTTCTCCCAAGTTCCAGCCTGTCTTTGAAATTTCATTTGTGTCTCCATGTGTGAAACCATTGCTTATGGTGCCTGTTCCTGCACTTGCAAGGGTCCTCATGTATTTCTCATCATCTTGAAGCTATTAAAATTTTCAGTTCTTAAGCCATGTGTTGATGTGTCCTTGAAGATTTACTCTCACTTTGTTAAAAACAGGTGTGTATCCCCTGTTCAGGTGTGACTGACAGAATCTGCTGGTTGTCTCATGTGGCCCAGTTTTTCGTTTCTGTCCCCCCCCCCTTAATTGTTTGAAAGGCAGAGTGACAGTGAGAGGGGAGAGACAGAAAGAGATCTTCCATCCGCTGGTTCGCTCCCCAGGTGGCTGCCAACAGCTGGGGCTGCACCAGGCTGAAGCCGCGTGAGTAGCAGGGGGCCCAAGTACCTGAGCCATCTGCTGCTTTCCCAGATACATGTGCAGGGAGCTGGCTTGGGAAGTGGGGCAGCTGGGACTTAAACTGGCGCTGTATCACAGGCTGCCGGCGTCCTCTGATCGGCCTCTTCGCTGCGGGCACCCAGGAGCAGAACTCAGGTCAGGGTCCATCTCCACCTGCTGAGCTGGCAGATTCCTGTGGGGAGCTGGGTCACATACATGGTGGATTTCTGATGACTGCCCTGATCTTAGGAAAACAGATTTTAAAAGCCGGGCACGGTGAAATCCCATCTTAGCTTTCAGCTGCAGAATGACTGGATGTGTGTTTATGGCACACCAGCTTTGTAATCACTTCTAGTGAGGTGGTGAAAGAGATAGGACCATTAATAAGTGCATCAGAACGTGCTTAACTCTGCCACTGTAATGAACAGGGTTGCTGGTACAGACAGCAGGATGCAAGGCCAAACACACGCAGTGCAATGCGAGCTGTGTTTCCCGAGGCTTTCGCTGGGGTATCCTTCCTGACTGGTTTGCATTCGTCACTACATGAAGTTTTGCGTCGTTCCCTCTCTGTGACATCTTTGCTGATGACCACGTGAATTGCCAAAGGCTAGAGCGTGTTGCTATGACGTCTGCCGTTTCTCTGGCTGCGTACAGAGCAGTCAAGACCAAATGGTAAATTAAAGATTCCCAAAAGGCAGCGTCCTTGGCTTCCGTTATATTACTATGATGAATCTGCCATTAATGCGGCCTAATTGTTTTACTTTCGTGGACATAAAATCAGTCTCCTTTGTGACTAATAATAGAGTTTATTGATTTTACTAAACGTTACTCATCCTGGGCCTGCACACATCGGCTTGCCCCAAACACAGCCTGGGAGTTCACAGCGCTGACAGCGCACAGAACCCCTAGGCAGAGCCATGCTCACAGCGGTTGCCCCCTTGAATACAAGGTACTGAAAACATCTCTGCAGATCCACTGATTGCTGGATTAGGTGGCCTTTTCATGGAAACTTGCCGTTGATGTCCAGGTCATTAACAGTTACAGCGGAGAAAGCCTGGCCTTGCACATTCACACTGCCAGGGGCCCTGGTGGACAGTGGTCCGCGGATAACCGGGGTGAAGGCTTCTGGCCGATACATGATTGACCAGCGGCTTCAAGGATCATTGCGGGCCGTTCATTGCGTCCCCAGCTGTTTGCTTTCATTCTGACTGAGGATCTCTGCCATGGATTCTTCACTTCTTAACAAGGTCACTCCTGAGCGTGCGGGTTGGTTCTCAGCCCAGTTACTGTGGACATGCGAGACTGTTCTGTGCCACCAGCAACCTCCTTGGCGAGTGACAGCCAATCGGCCCTGTGACTGGGAGGACCCCTGCTTGGCCCTGTCCGCACGGACACCACGGCCTTTCCTGGAACTTTGTGGCTTTCGGGGGTGGCTCCTGGTAGTCCTGTGCAGGTAAAATGGGGGTGTTCATTGATAAAGCCAGACCAAACCTCCAGGTGTTTTTTTTTTTTTTTTAATTTTTTTTAATTTGAAAGGCAAAGCAGCAGCACAGGAAAGAGAGATATCTTCTGTCTGCTCATTCATTCCCCAAATGGTTACAACGGCTGGGGCTGGTCCAAGCCAAAGTCAGAAGCCTGGAGCCCCAACAAAGCCTCCCACACGGGTTCAGGGGCCCAAGCACTTGGGCCGTCTTCCTCTGCCTTCCCAGGCGCATTAGCAGGGAGCTGGATCAGAAGTGGAGCAGCCGGGACTCAAACGGGTGCCCTCACATGGGATTCCTGCAGGACTGGCAGCAGCTTAGCTCCCTGGGTCACAAGCAGAGCTCCAGGTTTTTAAAGAACATTGTGGGATGCAGATGTTAGCATAACAATGAGTACTTTGATAAGGTTGAAAATGACTTCCATTTTAACACTTGGGTGCATAATTCCGTTCACAGCACATCAATTAGCAACACTAGCCCTCCAAGAGACATAATTTTCCATGGAATGAAGCCTGTGAAGGTAGAAAACCTGAGAAAAAATGGGTAATTGTCAGGTTACAATTGATTGAACTTGGATTTGCTTCCCACAGGGAGGGCCTTTTGTTTCATGCACAAGAATTAAATTGTAAGAGGTTCTCAATACACACAATGCATTTCAGGGACGTTTTTCTTTCTCGCTTCGACACTTGAAGATCCGGGAAAGGAAACATGCCAAAACCCGACGTGGGGGAGAAAACCGTGGTCTCCGGGGCCGTGGGGAGCAGAGGTGCACACAGGTGCAGGAGCAGGTGTGTGGTCCAGTCAGACCGTGGCAGGACCCTTGTCCACGTGCTGTGCACGAAGCCACAAGCAGCACAGTGGCCAGAGCTCAACGGAGTCTGTGAGGGACGTGGCCCATCCCGGCACTCGGCGAGGGCCCTCCATCACGTGGGCAGGACAGAGAAGGGAGAAGCGCGTTGGACCCATCCTTGCGTCCCAGGAGCCACTTGATCTGTTCCCCCTGCATCCTGCCCACCCTCCTGAGCTGTAGCTCCGTACGGGGGGGGGGGGGGGGGGGGATGGGTGTGGCTGGGAGGCAGCAGTTTGCTCCCTCAGTTGTGGGAGGTTCTGCCTTAGAGGATCTGGGGCTGGGGCAGGGTTGAAAGAGCGAGGCCATGGTGGCACTGGGCCACTGGAACATGCAAAGAGTGACAAAGGGATTCAGTCCCCGCCAGGCTGCTTTCCCCTCTCTGGTGACATGGCCAAGGACGACCCCGCAGGTGAGAAGAATGGATCCATTTGCCACCTGCATCCCGAATGCATGCGCACACATGTGTGCACACAGGTGCATACTCCTTGGGGCCTGCAGAACTCCACGGAACTGGTACAGCTCACAGGAAACACACGGCCTGCACTCAGAGGAGAAGGGGCACTCGGGCCGTTCTCACCAGACCAGGTACACAGCCGGGAGGGGCGAGGGCGCCAGCACGTTGGGGAGGGCGTGTGTTGGGCCATGGCATACCAAAAGCAGACGGAGGACGCTGTGTCAGGAGCAGGGAAGAGTCCTCGGGGAGCAAGGATGCTGCCTGGGCTTCCTGGGTGTCAGTGAAAGAGCCTTCCCACACCTCAGGAGACGGTGTCACTTGGGTGTCACTGCCCCCTTCTGCTTCCGTGGACACAGCATCCCTCCCTCCTGTGGCTGGCAACAGCGGTGGAGCCTGCTCTGGCCAGGTTTCAGCCTGATTAAGGGACCAGCCTCTGGCTGGCACTCCGGAGTGTGTGTAATGCAGATCCAGCCCTAGAAGAAGCCCCTGTGACTGTGCCACTCTGGGACGGGTGAGGCGCAGTTAACCATCTAAAACCCAGGGTCCCCAGCACGCCTGCGACCTAGGAAATCCCCAGTGGTGTAGGAGCCCTGGGGTAGGCATGGTGGTGGCTGGGGAGTGGGACAGAGACCGATGTGTGGTGTTCATTGTAACACAGGAAAGAGACACTGCCCCTTCCTCCTGCGGGCTCTGCCTTTCTCTGTGTGTGTGCACCGTGGTGTGCTATTCTTGGGTGTCCGTTCTCGGTCTTCTTCCCCTTAGAGTGGGCGCTCCATGAAAGAGCTGACTTCATCTGCTTCCTTTACTGCTCTGGCTCCAGCACCCAGAACAGCGTTCAGCCCATGTGGGGCCAGCGAGTGACACTGCCAACCTCCGCCACGTGCCAGACCAACGGGCCACCTCATCTTGCACTGAGAACCTCCAAAACTGTGAGCCAAAACCAGCCTCTTTCCATTGTAAGTAGCTTCTCACTGGTATTTTAGTAAAAGTTACAAAAAGCTGCCTGATACACTTTTTCCTGGGTTGTATCCTTTTTTTTTTGTTTTTTGTTTTTTTGACAGGTAGAGTTATAGACAGAGAGAGAGAACGAGAGAGAAAGGTCTTCCTTCCGTTGGTTCACTCCCCAAATGGCCGCTACGGCCGGTGCTGTGCCGATCCGAAGCCAGGAGCCAGGTGCTTCCTCCTGGTCTCCCATGCGGGTGCAGGGCCCAAGCACTTGGGCCATCCTCCACTGCCTTCCCGGGCCATAACAGAGAGCTGGACTGGAAGAGGGGCAACCGGAACTAGAACCCGGCACCCATATGGGATGCCGGCGCCGCAGGGGGAGGATTAACCAAGTAAGCCACGGCGCCAGCCCCTGGTTGTATCCTTTATAATAGAAATGTCAATACAATTCCTGCTGAGTTCTATGAGTCATTCTAGAGCATTATTGAACTGGGTGTCACTGGGGGCTTACAGGAAGTTCCAGGTTTGTAGTTCGGCAGGAAGCAGTTCAGGTAGTCTGGAGACCTCATTTGTAGCTGGCCTGTGGGGTTTGCACTAATTCCAGGTAGTTAGTGTCAGGACTGAACTGAATTATCAGACGCCCGGTTGGTATTGGAGAACTGTTGGATGGGAAATGATGTAATTGCATACCAGGGGCTCAAGGAAGAGACATGAGGGCACAAGATACGTGCCTGTCCGCAGGAAGCGTTGAAGGCAGAGGGCAGAGCAAGTACAAAGGTCCTGAGGTAGGAGCATCTTTGGAGTATTTAGCAAAAAGCAAGGAGAACGGCGTGGTCAAAGCCCTGGTACAGTGGTGCCCTCCGGCTATGCAGCCAGCTACGCTGTTCCATGGTCACGAGACAGAAAGCTGAGAGATGGAAATTGTACCAGTCATACAGTTTATCGAAACAGCTTAAACTAAAGCGTAGGGTAAGAAGCAAGTGAAAGGCGTGGAGTGGATTT